GTGTGTGTAAATGAACACCTCTACACAGACACCCTCCTGTGTGCACGGCATTAGATATCAGACCGCTTGGCACACCTAGAGTTAATGCTTGAAATTTGAGGCACGTACAGTACAGAGAAAGCTGCTAGGAGAAAAAAAAGAGCTGGCTGTAGTCTGGCAGCTGCTATGTCTGTTCTCTGTACTTTGGTGTCATTCCCTGTGTGAGGGTGTATATGAGTATGTACATGTGTTTATAAGTGTGTGTGTGTGTGTGGGATTGCACTCTGCCTGCCTGTGTCCATATGAATCAATGCGTTTGTATTGTGGGAAAGAGAAATATTGGAGACAGCAGTAAATAACATAATCCAGCTATTAGGTTTTGTGCCCTAAAACATGGACGTATACTGTACACACCGTCACAAGGACATGACTCATGGGAAATTATACGAATTTTCACTCAGCTTTCTTCATATTTACTGCTGATACACAAGCAATCATGCACCGTGTTCCCATCCACAGCTACAAATGCAGGGCAGAGTGAAGGACGTGTAATCCAATTTCCTTTGTGTATTATTGTTATTATTGGTAGATATCAAAATACATCACAAACGTATTATAAATCATCACACTATTTTATACTCAAGAACAGCTCCATTTCCATATGAACCTAGAAGCAAGGGTGCATCTAGAGAGGAGAGACTGAAATGCATGTTTGAAACAGAGATTTGTCAGTGGCTGCATTAGCAGAGGAAATAATTTACACTTTGTTTTTTCATAGTTCAACACCTTATTTCAATTAACCTACGCTCCGTGCTGAATGACTTAAAAGCTAATGTGTTATTTCTATCCACTAGATTCCCTTGGTCCCCTCACAAAGACTGTGTGGCCCCGTACTGATGGCAGAAACAGACTGAATTGTTTTAGGTTCCACTGACTTGTTAACTTTTGCTTTTCCTCATCCATTAGGAGGTGACATCATCAGGACCATTTCACAGTGTACAAAAGACATGATTCTTTTACCTTAGCAAGGAGTAAGTCTCCCACAAGATGGGAACAAAGAGGTGAATCTCCTAAACAGCCTCGCTTCACATCACCACGAGATTATTCCATGACAGAGCAGGGAATAGAGGAGGGGAACGAGTTAGATCTGAAGATTCTTTTAACTTTTTATGTGGCAAATTAGCTGAAACAAATGCTAAATGTGTGTTCCCTTACCATTTTTCCCCCTCCCTCGCAAGATAAACAGCACCTGGTAATGTGTATGAAACATTACTCTGATGAACAACCATGCGGTGCCTACTGAAAGTGAAGCCATTAAACATAATATAAAAGACACACACACTGTCGGTTTTCATTTGTCACCCCGGCATGACTACCGAGTCCTGGTAAAGTCTCATCTGTGCTCCGTGTGTGCGTGTGTTGGTGTGTGTGTGTGTGTGTATGTGTGGGTGTTGTGTGTGTTCCTGAGTGCTTGCGTGTATGCATATGCACTGAAAACACTTGGCAAGCCATGCTCCTCTCGCCTTTTTCCTCTCCTGGATTACCATCACATTGTCTGTGATCAGCCCCAGACCTGTTACCCCAGCGGTAATAAAAGAACCACCGAGATACATTCAAGTGCAACAATGTGTGGGTGTCGGGAAAAAAATGTTATGAATAAGTCTGTCCCGACTATTGGCTGTACTTTGGAGAATATCACTCCATGCGCTTACACTCTATGACAGCTAATTGAAGGTTCCCCTTGGGCTTGAGTGCAGCAGAGACATAATAATCAAGGATCCTGTCCTGGTTTCTCTATATTGCCTAAATGTGGGGTTTGCTTCTTTGTCATAATCAAAAGGATATTGCATAGGGAACGTATTCAGCGGTGTCTGGCATGTGTTGCCACAGTAGAAAGCAGAACTATTTGGTCCATGTTATGAATCACAAAAGGTATGGAAAAGGCTGCTGCAGCACTACTATCAGATCAATACCCATCCCTCACAGTGACTGCTTATAAACTTATCCACTTAGACATCTAGTGAAGAAGTGACTGCCTGAGAGGAGTGTCTGTGGGTTAATTCCACACAGCTTTTATTGGATCAAATTAAACCAAGCTATGGCATAAAGGTAATAAGATTATTGTGTTGAAGGCAGGATTACGGGCTGACACGTTATGTACACGGGAACAGTGGTGGTCAGAGAGGTGGCATTGTTTATGCACGGATCTCTCTGGGAAGTTTAGCCTACATTCACATTAGCCTCTATTTCACATAGGAAAGAGATTAGTTTGAGAGAGAAGATTAGTTTGCATTATAAATATGAAATAGGATTATTTTTTGCCCTTTTACTGATGTCCATTTCATAATATCTCCTGTTAACGAAGCTCTTTAAAGTAGATAGTAGTAGATAGTATTCTATGATGGTGCACACTGAGAACGCCAATTTTTAGCAATGCCAGCACAGCTTTTCTGTCTCTTGCAGCACAGATATTGGTTTAGCAAATCCACCCCACACCCCTTTCTAAAAAAGCTATCCAGAGGGGCAATCCCTTCCAATGGAAAGAGCCAACCCCATTATATGGATTTAAACAGGTCTAACAATAATTACCCCCACAGTTTCACCGCTGATAGCAGGTAGCAATGGAAAGTGAAAAAAAGGAACAACTTAAAAGAGATTTCATTGTACATGTTGTAACTAGAGCACGGAGCTCAACATCCCAGCGAGCCATGACAAGCAGCCCTCTTGAGTGAGGGGTGTAGACAAGATACAGTTGTTAGTTGACATGCTAAAGGAATGTGCTTGGATTACAGCAGATGCCGCTTTGATTTATTGGCCGTGGTTGCGAGGCCTTTATCTTAAATCATGCTGCCGAACAGCGATTCATTTTCATTTTATTTCTGTCTGGATTCTAAACTCCCCACCCATGGAGACTGGGATCTTATCATTATCATCTTTCATACTTTGGAAATGAGAAACCTTTAAAGGGCCCCACAGTTTCTTGGGAATCTTCGGGAAGTTTGCCAAGAAACCCTGACCCAGATGTTTAAAAAGAAATGATAATAATTTACACACATTCATTTTCTTTTGACGGAGCCGCTGTGTTACATGCTGTAGTGTGTAAACTTAACCATAATTTTTTTTGTGTGACTATTGCTTTCATCTCTGTGAGTCTTCTCAGTGAGTCATGAAAAAACAAGGGATATAGCAATAAAGGGGTATAGAGACAGGCATTTCTCCCAGCCAGCTAAATGCTGGTACTGAAAGGACACTAAGCACAGGTTGTCTCTCAACCACTGTGACAGGCGGTGTAGCTGAGAATTTCACTGTGTTGAGTAAACATATATAGTTGGGGGAGGAGAGACAAGAGAAGAGGAGGCTGAGGTGAAGCCAGCCAGCCAGCCAAATCTCAGCTCAGTGTCAAAACAGCCAGTCAGCTGTGTACACCTTCATGTCACCTGCTTGTGTGTGTGCATGCGCGCGTTTGTGTGTATAGAGTTCTATACCCCCATCACCAGGAGGGAGCACACACATTTCATCTGCTCTGGTCAATGGAGCCTAATTCGCCACAGGTAGCAGCCAGACTCAAAGGCGATTTCCCTTCAGCTCAACTGTGCTGAAGCCTCTCATCCATACCGTGGGGCCTATGGTGATAGTACTGGCGTGTGTGTGTGTGTGTGTGTTGGGGGGGTCAGTGGGGGGGTTTCTGCTATCAGCCAGACCCATTATCCAATGGAGGCAATAGATATGGAGGTGTTGCTGCCTGGGGTCTGACTGCTTCTCCTCCAATCCACTGGAAGACAGAAACTGTCTTCTCATTCTCCAGCTTGGCCCCATTGTTTCTGAATTATCCTGTCATCGTCTTCTATGCGCGCGTCTATTTTCCCCCATCCCCCTCTCTCTATTTCCCCTGTCCTCTCTCCTCTCTTCGACTAGCTCTGTCTCTACAGTGTTTTCACTACCGGTTGTACTGCTGAGAACAACTGTGCTCAGCTCAAGCAGTGTAACAGCACCTCTTCACATTCTCTGCATGCTCTACAGACAGCCTAATGGAGGAAATCAAAGTGCTCAAATGCGATTAGATTCAGTATGCACATTGCATTCCAATCAGAGCTCCTTTGATTGATATAGCTTATCCTTTTAAATTCAACCAAATATCTTTTGGGGGACGGAGGAGGGGGGGTCCTGCTTTATTTTCGTGGAGCAGGTTTATATCAAATAGTTAACGTCAACATTTCATCTATGAAACTCCCTTATGTTCGACTTTTATGAAATGTAATTACACTGCTTCTCACGCTTCTCTGGTGTATCACATGAAAAATGTCTTCATAGTTTTTCCTTAGTGGCTCATGTTAAATGTAAGGAGTGCACTATTTTCTCCTTTCCCAGGACTGAAACATATTGTTTTTGCCTGGGGCATTGCATGAGTTACTGCACACCTGCTTTATCAGAGTATGAGTTGTAGTAAGAAACAACTGTAAAATGAATGTTCGGGCACCATGGCTACACATACAGGTTCTGTGTTGCACTAGTGAAATTTAATCAGCCATGCCACAAAATCTCCCAGGCAAGAATGATTGCCAGGCAGGAGGATGTTACTGTAATTATTGTCTTGTTCACTGCAGACTGAGTGCCTTGGATAAGCCATAGTCAACGGGAAGGCAAATACGCTTGTTGCACAAAGCACTTAGCAGCAATTTACACAACAGGATACTTGGACGTATAAGCATTACAGTGTTGAGCATGTTGAGAAAAAAAATTAGGAATGTTACTTACAGAGGGCACTTTTAAGGTTTAGTGGTACATGAGGGCATCTGCCCACCAGTAGGTCAAGGTTTGAATACCTGCCAAAATAGTCTTAGCATAATACTTAATATAATCCACATTATGTGCCCCAGGGGTGCCACATTAATGAGCTGACCTCACACTGCAACCGCGGGTCAAGCTACCACTTGGTTTTGATTTGTATATCTTTATCCACACCATCACGTAACAGTGCTCTACCTAAACATAATGCCTGTGTACCCTCTGTCTCTTCACAGCTCCACCACTGTCAGAAGTAACCTCGTCCCCTCTGCCTCAGAGAACTACAACCACCACCACAACAACCACCACAGTGCACGGGGGTGTGACCAACACTACCACCACAACAGGGCTCAAGGAGGGCAGCAGGGGAGCGCCCAAGCCGCCTCCCGTGATTCCGCAGACTACTTCCCCTCCGCCCCTCGAGTCCTTCCCTTTACCTGAGCGCTTCTGCCAGGCCACAGAGAAAAGAGACATAATGTGGCCTCAGACCCAGAGGGGCATGCTCGTGGAGCGACCTTGCCCCAAAGGAACACGAGGTAAACAGGGCTCTCACCTCAGGGCAGCATGCTTGCTGCTTTCAATATGACCTAAAGCATCCCATTGAACATCCCTGAGTTTGTTAGATTTGTCTGATATTCTTGCATACAAGGATGTTTTTTTAATCTATAAAGAGCACTATTTTAAGTAGACGTGCATGGAATCAGTGAAGACTGTTTATAATAGTGTTAGGTTTTAGTTGTGTCATTCCAGGTCGAAACATGATTTAGCAATCTGTAACGGTTGTGTTGTAGAGGAGCAGGCTCAGCTGTTTTTCCCGCAGCTTGCGTGGGGACGTGCATCCCTCGTTGGATTGTGTGTGAAATCGTGTTAGCACTCAGAGTTCATCAGGCACACGGCTAATTAGGACAGGACAGAAAATTGTTAGCAAAAACAGGAGCAGGCTGCTGGAAATAGTTTCAGAAAAAGAATAAAATTGGTGACTTTACATGTTTGGAGTTTACTGTATGCAACAATTTCAGTTTAATTTGCCCTCTGACGGCAACAGTCTTACCAGACTAGCACAGTGAATTAAACAAAATATCCTTCAGGGCTGATATTTCTGTGTGCACACACAAGCAGACATTCTCTGACTTCAGATTTGTATAATATGTAGGCATTTGCATGTTTGTAAATTTCTTGTTTGTGTGCAGTGTCCTCTTTTTATTTCCTTGTCCTTTGTTGTCCTACAAACATCACGTCCCAACTTCATGTGAAAATAAATTTGATTTGACTTGATTGAACTTGACTATTCTGTTCTTGTTTTCCCTGTCAGGCACAGCCTCTTATTTATGTGTCCTTTCCACTGGGGCCTGGCACCCGAAGGGCCCTGATCTCAGCAACTGTACCTCCCACTGGGTCAACCAAGTAGCCCAAAAGGTTTGTATGTGCTCTGCCTCACTGTAATGTATTTCTTAAAAACATAGGGGGGTAGATAAAAAAATGTAAACACACCCTTGTAAAGGATTGCAGCACTGATGTAACTTGTCAGCTATAAAAATGTCTGGAATTGAGGACTTTGAGGAAATGAAGACTGCAAATGCTTATATATTATGGAAACTTATATTATACATGTTCGTAGTATACATATAGTCATATTACGTATTGGCATGCCTTTAATATGACCCCAGTTATGTAGGAATGATTACATTTGACTCCAAGTTAAAGGCATTTTACATGCAAAGTAAACAGTTTTTCTATCCTGCATAATGTGTGTCAGAGAGCTGCTTGCTGTATCTGCTGTTACATCTATGAGTGCCTGTTTTGTTTTTTTTTGCTGCCACCATGGCAACTTCTACATGAAGAAAATCTCTTCTTTTTGTAACTGCCATTTCAAGGACTTATTCAAGTGTGACTTGATGTCAGAAACAGGGCTCTAAAGAACCCTCCAAGTCTGTCTTGTTGCATTCTCGTGAACATTATTCACTCTCTCCCCCTGCAGATCCGCAGCGGTGAAAACGCAGCTAACTTGGCCAACGAGTTAGCCAAGCACACCAAAGGCCCCATCTTTGCAGGGGACGTCAGCTCCTCGGTGCGCCTGATGGAGCAGCTGGTGGACATCCTGGATGCTCAGCTGCAGGAGCTCAGACCCAGCGAGAAGGACTCTGCAGGGCGGAGCTTCAACAAGGTAACTAGATCCACCAGAAAGAAATGCCTCTCTTGCTGCATCACTCTTCACTGACAAGTTAATGCTTTTTAATGACAGATGGAGAATGGAATACAGTGTTCCCCAAAATAATACAGTAATATGTACAGTTGTTGTTATTGTTTGTCACATGCATTCTTTCTTTTTCTTTTCAAGTTCAGCAAATCTGTGAGACAGACAAAACAAAAACAAAAAAGCACTTATGTTATTTTAGACTCTGAATGGCACATCATGATCTGCATTTGTTGTAGTATTTGTACTTTTGTGGTATTGGCCATAATTTGGCTCTGCCAAGCGTGACACTTCTCTGATGTGTCAGAGGGCTCTGAGAGGAAAATACAGCATGTCATAAATATGAGCTAAAGCACTTTTACTCTTCGACCTCCAGGTAAGCAGGTCAGCAGCACAAGAAGCAGGAGTTACTTTATATATCGGCCACTCTGTCAGGCCTTTGTTTCTACAAAGCCTTTACTCAAGCTCATGAACTTGTGCAAATTATGTGTCTCTATTTTTTATCTGTTCTTTTTCTTTTCTAATAAAAAAGCTTCAAAAACGAGAAAGGACATGCAGGGCATACATGAAGGTACTGAAGTAATGCTTCTGCCCACTCTGCTTGCTGCCTACTCTATTTCTGTGCTACTGTATACACCCTGGCCCCAGTTCAGCAGCATGTACCCTATGCACTGTCATGTACTCCCTCCTCCCTGTGCTTCCTGCTTTTTTGAGTAATTACCTTACACCCAGATGCAATCATACTTTCTAAATCAAAGAGAAGTCATCTCCATTTCCTGAGGTGGCTTCTTTACATGGATGTGTTTCTGTGTTTTTCCCCCCACTATGCATTGACAGCAATGGTGTATTTTGTTTTCATTCAGTTTTTCTCGATTGTATGTTTTCTTAGTGTTTACCCAAGATTGCACGTGTGGATGCATAACACCACGACTCAAACAAACATCCTGTTCTTACATCCCTTTCATTATTCATTTGCTGAAGGATTTGCTGCTTTGTTGCAATATCTGCTTTTATACGAAAGGCTGCCTTCAATATAAAACGCTTCTGAATATTGCATCAAACACAGTTCACTTCTTCAAACCTTTTTTTTTTTTCATGGACCATCACCTGACCTTTCCCCGCATGTTAAGTAAAAATTGTGGCTCTTGTTTCACAAGGACATTGGTTTTAGGTGTTAGAAGTCATTTGTTTCATAAATTAAAGGTGCAAATCTTCAGTTCTATCTGGTTAATAGGGTTAGCCAGGTCAAACCATTTTTCCCCTCTTCCTCGAATGCTATACGGTTGGGTTCATACATCAAAGTATTTTGCCCATATATATCCCTCTACCATTAGGGAGATCAGTGTCCTCCACCTGCCACCAAAGTCACCCCCCTCAATCCAGATCTCTCCTTCGGGAGGGTATTAAAATGGATCGAGCTAATTAGCCATTCAGTGGCCGTGCACTCATAAAAACACGCCCCCTCCCCAAAATGTCACATCATCATTTTGTTTTTTTAAAGTCACAACATGTAGATTTGAAGTCAGATGTAGCGTGTTAGAGAGGTTGTGTCAATGTAAATGGCTAATGACAGCCTGAGAGGATCCGGGACAGAGATCGTTGAGTCAGCGATATCTGCCATCTGCCATACTTGATGCAACATCACTATAGCAGCTCCCCACCCTTCCCACCAGCCTTCACCGGCATTGATTACCTGATTAGACACATTGATTTGATTATTTCCTGAAGAAAACCAAGCGTCGTCTGGATGCTACGCCCAATTTATCCGCTGTCGGCCCTGAGCTGTTCAGGTGACAGAAAGTGTGAGGCTGGAAAAGGGTTTGCGTAAAAGGATAGAGTTCAATTAAATAATTTAACAAGTTATTTTGGTTTGTTTTGCACACATTTCCATGTCCTTTCTTAGTCTTTTTTGTCGAGCGAGATGACTGCAGGTCAAAAGTTGAAGGAAAAGAAAGTTTCTACATGCTGAAGGCTGAACTTTGCAATCAGAGAATTTTAATTGAGGACAGCTTTTGGTCCTTTGACTTTCATCTGGCCATCTCTTAATATCCCGTTATTGGACCTCATAGGCTCAACAAACGGTTACCCTAAGTGTCCGCCCAGATGAAATGTCCTTGAAAAAGAAACCACCTCCAGTGATGCTCTTGTTCTTCCCTGCCTCTTCAGTTTTTCCTTCACAATCAATACAGTTAATATTTATTCAGTAAACGTCATATATACAATCAAAAAATTTATGTCCTTTCAGGTTTTTTCCCCCTATCACATTCATTTTAATCCTTACAGACCCGTCAGCATTTCATCTATTTCATTTCAGTGTCCGCATGTCACCACTTATGCTTGCGAAAGTAATTGATTTTGTGAGTTACTCAAGTATCTTTGTTTTTGTTTGTGTGCGTATTTGTTTGTCTGGTTCGACACAGGCCATTGTGGACACGGTAGATAACCTCCTGCGACCGGAGGCATTGGTGTCCTGGAAAGACATGAACAGCACGGAGCAAACGCACGCAGCCACCATGTTACTAGATACTTTGGAGGAAGGGGCTTTTGTCCTTGCCGACAACCTTATGGAACCCGCCATTGTCAAAGTTCCGGCAGACAATATAAGTAAGTAAAACAAGACTTTGTGGTAAGCAAATGACAAGTGTTCTCGACTGATGCGAGCTCAGTTAATTTGATTACTTTCAGTTCATTGAGAGAGTGACTCTTGTGATAGGAAAACAAGGCCGCCACATAAAAAAGGACTTTGTTTTCATAATAAGCCCCTTAAACCTCGAGGGAACAGAAAAACAACGCATATTAGGTTTAACGAGTCGTTTACTGACAAAGTGATGAATATCAGACAATTAAATAGACTGGATTCTCTGATTGCGCACGCTTAGTTAATAAATGTATGCGTCTAGACCTTGTAACTCTATACATTAATGTGAACATTAGCCTGCTGTGGAGTCAGAAAACATACATTGTTTATCCTCAGCCTCCTTCTCTCATTTTCTTCTGCTGTTAGACCATATAAGGAAGGTTTATCCTTAGTTGTTTTTTCCCTGCAGTGTTGTTTTATTCATATTAGTAAGATTCTCACAAGGCTTAAATTATCACTTTGTGATTGACGTTTTTATTGTGTAGCTCAGTGTCACAAAGATTTAGTGTTTGAGTCGTTGATATGTCCTTTGGTCCATGTCAACATTTCAGTTAGCGTAGAAATGTCAGGACGAGCGCTTTGGCATCAGTATTCTTCACTGTTTCGTTTTAATGCCCTTGGGTCTAAGTCAAACAGTCTGAAATGACCAATATCTCATTCTCCTGTCCTTTCATCTTTCTTCTCTAAACTGTCCTCTGCCTTTCTGCACATGGCAGTCCTGGATGTGTATGTACTCAGCACGGATGGCCAAGTCCAGGATTTTAAATTTCCACAATCCAGCAAGGATGGTATCTCAATCCAGCTGTCGGCCAACACTGTCAAGCTCAACAGTCGGAACGGTAAGCTCTCTTAAACGTATCGAGGAAGTAATTTTCCCATAGCACCTGTAAAAGAAAAGAAAGAAAGAGAAACTTAGTCAAGATAGTTCTGTGTCTTTAAGAGCAATGACGTGCTTATTCATTGTGTGAGAAACTGGGGAATGTATGCATGTGTGTTTGACTTTTGCTTTTAATCTTGTTTACTTGCAAAGGAGAAGATTCTGTCTCTATTAGCGTAGAAGCACACAACAAAGGTTCCTTGAGATTTTGGCTGAAAAATGAGAGGCAATTTTTTAAACAACTTTATGTCTCGCTCACTCATCTTTCTCTTTGTCTTGCAGTTCCTTGAATATTCTAAACAGACATTATAAATTGAGTTATCTTTATACATATTGGATGTTTGTTTGAATGTTTTTTGTCCTCTTCTTGTGCATATTTTGCCACCACAGTTTTCTTCGTACATTGGCTAAGCTTCTTTTTCTCCTCTGCTGATGCCTGTCCACATATTTTTCCCTGCAGGGGTTGCCAAGCTGGTTTTTGTGCTCTACAAAAATCTGAGCCAGTTCCTCAGCGCAGAAAACGCCACCATCAAGATGGCCAACGAGGGTTCCAGCCGCAACGTGTCGGTGGCCGTCAACTCCGACATCATTGCTGCCTCAATCAACAAAGAGTCCAGCCGTGTATTCATTAATGACCCGGTGATTTTTACCCTGAAGCACAGTAATGTGAGTCTCCCTGCTGGAGTGAATGGAGAGGTCATATTAAAAAACACCAGGAGGGGACATCCAGAGTAGACAGAGATCTGCAATTTGAATTGTAAATGTCTGGCTAGGTCAGTCGGCAGTTTATTTAAGTCATTGAACATCAAATTAAAGGAGTCTTTAGAACCTAAGTGAATTCTTAATGAAAACTAATTCTTTAATCAACATTGGGATATAAATGATACCCATTTTCTTTTATAGTGGGGGAAATTAACTCCTAGATTAGCCGTACAATCTAGGATGAAATTACTGGAGCACCAATTATCTTTCGTCTTTTAAAGTTGTCACTAGAGTTCCCAGAGGGCCATGTGGGAATCCATTCTTTATCAGAGAAATTGTGCAATTCCAAAGACATGCCGTCTAACAATTATGCTTCTCTGTTATTAAGGCCCCATATACCCAGCTATGCTTCGGTTGATTTGGCAAGCATGTGCCAAATGAGATACAACATATGAATTGCTTCATAAGAGCTGTGAAGTGAAAAATCCTCATCCATATCAGTGCAGAAAAATACTTTGTATGAGTGGGGGGTAAATGGCCTCTGTGTTCTACATGTACTTCAATTTCAGGCAGTCAATTATTTGGACACTTAAACATATCTCTTGTTATCTGCAGATGACAGCGGACTACTTCAATGCCAATTGCTCCTTCTGGAATTACTCTGAGAGGAGTATGATGGGTTACTGGTCCACCCAAGGCTGCAAACTCTTGGACTCCAATAAAACCCACACCACCTGCTCCTGCAGCCATCTCACCAACTTTGCCATCCTCATGGCGCACAGTGAAGTCTCAGTATGTCACACTGATTTGGTATATCCACCTCTAACAGTCTTTTCTTTCTAACTCACCTATAGTAATTACTACTTTTCATAAGCAAATACAAAATACCGTACATTCCTCTTACTAGGTTTAAATAGCAATCTTACGAGATTGTAATCACAAGGTTCAGGGAGAAGACTTGTGTATACTGTTGTTGCACTCATTCTACTGCTTTCTTTATCCACTGTTTAATTGTGTAAAACTTTGTTTTACACACTTCACATTCTCTACCTCACCAAACTGGAGCAATTTTCTAAACATTACAAAACCCTTCCAATCCCTTACAAAAAGGTCCTACAGAAAAAGTGTGTACACTTCATTAAAATGTAAGGTAACATTATGTAGCTCAGTGGTTCCCGACACTATTGGCTAGTGATTCCCTAAATGTAGTAAAGCTACTTGTGACCCTCCTTCACAGGTAATGGCTTCAGAATAAACAGTGATTTTTGCTTCTCAGGCTATTTAATTTGAATGATTTTTAAAGGCCTGAAGAGGTGAATCTCAAGAAAGACAATCAGGAAAACTCAGAATAAAATAAACATAATTTTGAGAAGGAGAAAGATGTTTTTTATCCCTTTGATCATCTTGTGGTCCCATCAGATATATCTATATATGATTTTCAGTCTATATATATATATAGGCCAATATTACTTTCCCCACTTGTTCTTAATCACTCACTTATTCAATATATTTTATAAAGGAAGTTTAGTGCTTCTAATTAGGTCACATAATTTGAGGCATGAAAAGATTCATCACAGAGCTGAAAGAAAAGCATGTTAATTTTCAGAAACATGTTTTACCTTTTATTTCTTCCAGGTTAATGGCACGGTGCACGAGCTGCTTCTGAGGGTCATCACTCGCGTTGGGATCGTGGTGTCCCTCGTCTGCCTCGCCATCAGCATCTTCACCTTCTGCTTCTTCCGGGGGCTGCAAAGCGATCGCAACACCATCCACAAGAACTTGTGCATCAATCTCTTCATCGCGGAGTTAATATTCCTAATTGGTATCGATATGACGAAAGCTGGGGTAAGCCGGAACGATTGCACCCTATTGATTTGGTTTTGATTCATTCCCTCTCACTTTATCTCCTATCACCCCCCAAAACAAAACAAAAGACCCTTTCAGAGTGAAATGGATGAGACTTTAAGCATTGTTTGTTTCTAACCTTCTATGCTTGTCCCTGACATGACATGAGTGGGACAGCACCATTAATATAGATTACTAAGGGGCCATGTCTTCCACTTGACAGGTCTTTTTTCCTCTTTCACTTAAAGGCATTGTTGCCATGGTTGAGCCCACACCCATACCATTTTTCCCCACTTTTTTCACCTTCATTTTCCCTCCAATCTGAAAGACACCAAAACATTTTTCCAGCATACACCTGGGATTGAAAGCTTCACATTCTGAGCTGAATGATTAAATCTACTAACTCTAACCTTACAAAACGAATGCCATTTAAATTTCTATATGCTGATGGATGAAGTTAAACCTGTGCATAGTCAGAGCCCATGTGGTGAATGAATATTCATTACCTTTTTTCTTCAGTTTCTCTGATATGTGTTCCACTGAATGGGTGAATGCGCTGAATGTCATCTTTTCAGTGGGTTTTAATAAACGATGGGGTATATGATATACAATTTTCAATAAAGAAAGTGCAGTGGAGATGTTTAAATCATTTCATCACTTTATGGAAACTGATATTGTTTAGTCTTGTTTTTTTCTTGAATACATATTATTTAAATTTCTAAATGGGTTATTGTTCTTACTCAGATTGGATGTGCCATCATTGCGGGGATCCTCCACTTCTTCTTCCTGGCTTCCTTCTCCTGGATGTGTCTTGAGGGGGTCCAGCTGTACCTCATGCTGGTGGAGGTCTTCGAGAGCGAATACTCCCGGAAAAAGTACTACTATGTGTCTGGTTACCTGTTCCCTGCCATCGTGGTCGGCGTCTCCGCAGCCATCGATTACAGGAGCTATGGGACCGAGAAAGCGTAAGTGCAGCTTTCCGAACAAATCCTTGGAAATGCAGAGCAGACACGCTGGATGCTACACTGTGTGGGCGTACCTGCTGTGTCTGCATGTGGCGGCTTTTGAAAAGAAAATCTACTCATCATTTCTGCTAACGCCTTATGTGCATCCCTGGAGACTACACCAAAACATTTGAGCTCCTTTTGCCAGCTATGGGCAGCTGTTCAATTTTTTATGTCATTTCAAAGTGGCTGACAGACTCAACACTGTGGTTTCAGAGGGGCCACAGCTACATTAATGCCTTTCTGCTTAAAGACCCTCCTGTGACCTCTTGTTTGTAAATGCTCTCTTAAAGAGAAGAGCACTGTGCAGAAAAGGCCTTTTACATAGATTAATGGCCATATCTCAGCCGAGACCCAGCTATCAAGAGGAGCTACTTGGGGTCTTTGCTCTGTTTAGTACAACTGTAGTAATGTTCAATATGTAAAAAAAAACGATTGACAGTGCTCCCAAGTTAAGTATTGACTAGGAATTACACACTCAATGTCATCAGCCCAAGTGACCAGAACATTTTCTTCTTTCCATTATTATTTGGCTGCAGGAGCATAAGACAAGACTGATGTTGTATTTGTAGTGTGTGCTGCCAGAGGCTAAAGTGTGCATTTCTTTGTCATAGGTGCTGGCTAAGTGTGGACAATCATTTCATATGGAGTTTTATAGGACCTGTCACCTTTATCATCATGGTAAGCTGTTTTTTATTTTTTTTCATGAATACTGAGACTGACAGAGTGAGGAAGGGACTGAGAGGGTGAGATGAAAGCGATGAAGGAGAGAGATAAAGGAAGTGAGATGGTTGAACTGAAGGAGAAGTCAGACGGATTTTTGCTCCCCAGTCTCCTTCAGTGATGACAGGTTCATTTTGCGCCAAAGACAGATTTTGAGGCATCCAACAATTCTCTCCGCTTCTCACCGCCTGACAAGGATCAGGATTTGATCGTGTACTTTAACCTTGCATTCATACAACTCCCATGAAATCTAATATTACAGACATCGCCTAATGGCCTTCCAGTTACACTTTTTATGATAAAGAAACAAGAAAGATTCAAAAATACCTTCAAGGTGCATTTTGCAGCACATACTGTAACAGCAAGATGCCAGGGTAAGATTTTATAGCTCCTTTTTTTTTCTCCTCTGCATCGGCCTCCTTGTTTGTTTATCTGCCTTTAGTAAATAGCAGATGACAGCGTAGGGGAGAAGGAGAAACGGAAAGGCTCCTCTCTGTTTGGTCAAGGACCATCAGGGTGAAGGACATATAGCATATTGTAATGACATATGTCCCATTGGGGCATGCAATTATTTACTGGTCATGACATTATTATCTCCCGCTCCATCAGAGAGGCTCAGAAGAATTAGACCTTAGGGAGTCTTACCTCCCTGCGCCAAACAAAAAAAGCAGGTTTTATTCCTCAGATATATCCTCCAGACCATGTATTGCTTTGCCCTCGTGCACACTAAGGGATGAGGAAGCTCTGCAAACTTATCTTGCTACTGTGCAGGGAGGACGGTTGGTATTTGTTCAGTACTGTGTTCATTATCCAGCATAATGGTTGGGACTGTATCTACTGATGCAGTGACCTCTGTTGAACATCAAACTGACACTGAAAATATACTGGAGAGAGGGGGCACCCATGTCAAATTCCAGCGAGTCTCTGCACACCACTGGCAGCCCGCTAGGAGCTATCAGAGTAAAGATATAGTACAGCTCTTTGTCTGTGTGGTAACACAATAAATAAAAGACGAATCTGCTCAGTAGACTGCATTTCACAGTTTTTTCAAAAAGAGACATTGGAACTCAGTGTAGCATTTAAAAAATGGAGGAGGAAGTGCATAGAAGACCGTACGAAGGCCCGTGTCGGATTGAAATGTTTTTGAGTAAATGGCGAAAAGCCTGTTTTTTGTTGTTGTTGTTTTTATTGATTTTTTTCTTTTTCTTTTCTTCTCAGCACGGGCTTTGAGCGCGTGAGTGTGTAATTAAAGAAAAGCTAACATTGTATTAAAACAAACACACATTTCTCTCTGTCTCAGCAAATGCTCTGTCAGCCACACAGGAATATGTTTCCTTTCCCTAAATTAGACCCTCATTGTTCTTATATTGTGATTTGCGTGAAAAATGCGTCCACAGTGGAAATGATGATCAGGATCCCGGTGGTGATGACCAGAGAGATAGAATCATGACCCTGTGAGGAGCTAATGTATTGTAGCAGAGCTAGTATGTGACGGGAATGAGGTTTTGCAGCACTGGCTCGGGCATCGCCGACCGCTCCTCTGATACTGTGCAACAATTGACTCAAAAAGACAAAGCACTGTGGAAAGGGGCATCTCAGGGGAACATGCAGGAGCAAGGTTTGTCTACACCATCCGTGACCCTGGTTTCTCTACAAATTGGCTTTGTCCTTGTCAATGAGGGAGCCAGGGAGGAGGAGAAAAGGCACATGAGCAAAGAAAAGGAGAGAAAACAGTGTTGCTTTGGCTCGTGTCTGGATCCCCACCCGCCACCCAAGCCATGTTTGTGCCAAGTAACATTAGTTTTGACCTAGGGTGGTCATGCTTTTTTTCTCGTCCTTTTGTTTCATCTCCTTCTTTTCTTGCTTTTCCTGTTTGTTTGGTTTTATTTGGGTTTCTTTTGCTCCTGGCTGAAACAGGCTTTAAATTCGGACTGAAAACAAGCACTGGTGGAAGGCATTTAGATCCTTGTTCTTAGGCAGAAGTTGCCCAGTCTCTGGGCACAGGGGGTATTAGCTCCATGAAAGGAAAACATGGAAGTAATGAGTGGTGGGGGGGAGCCATTAGTATGCTTGAGATAGCTTCAATACAAGGCCTCTTGGATCATGACACGTCACAAGCAGTTCTTATCATCTGGACAGCTCCATCTGCACCTTTAATATTTTATCCCCAGCAGTTCATTTGGAGTTCAGTGTGTACACACACAGTCCACTTCAGGAAAAGCTTTCTCCTCAGTCCCAATGTGGCAAGGTGCTTCTGCATGGCTTGCAGTGATGATTCAGAGACTGAGAGACAGAGTGAAGGATAGAGGCAAGGCAGCTCCGCTCTAGCAAAGGGGGATCCCCCCAGGAAGGACCGCAAAAGCATGTCGGGTGGGGGTGGGAACATGTGCCCTGCTGCTAGGTTACTTTAAAGTACTGGGTCCCTCTCCTCTGTCTCATTGGATCCATGTCACCACTCCAAGCTGTGTGAAAGGGTTTTTCAAAAGTCCTCGCACTCCTGCCCCCCACCCCCCCCACCCCCCACCCCCACCATCATCAACACCACCACTGTCTGACTCATGCAGGCGGCTGATAGAAATAATGGCTGATAGCTGCGAAACAAAACATAGTTTCAGTGCCGTCTGTGATATAAAAGAAGGTTGACAATTCAGGCATTTTTTCTCTCTGTCTCTTTCTTTTTTTTCTCCAGTCGTTCCTCTCTTTTACTGCCTAGGTTATTGTGAGCGGCTCCATGAGTTGATTGCATGTGGGGTGATGTATTGATCACAGGCAGTCTTTTGATAGCAGTGTGCGCCAGAACATGGAGAATTTCTGTTTAGGAGTGAATGGCTATGGTCTGAGTCCAGCTCACAAAGGTCAGACATTTATTTCATGCCCTCATACTGGCACTGCGTCTCCATTTTTGTCTTGCCAGTGCTTTGCCGCTCTGACGATAACATGGTAACACTGAAATCCATTGTTTATAAGGCTCATCTGGAAGCTTTTGTTGCAAATGTGTTTATTTGTATGTTGCTGTTTTTTTGTTACTTACATGCCAGTGATAACGTAGCTCACATATAAGCCTACATATATTTGAAATGGTCCTTTGATATTCACTATTGAGGACACACTTTTAAATTTTTCTTTCTTAAGTTATTCCTTGACATTATTTATACACGCCTGGCTTGCAGTACAAACAGTCCTCTGCTGTGAGTGCATGTAAATGCTGTGTCAGGGACTAGTTTGCCCCAGAATAAATGTTTTGAAGTGAATTATTTGGAGCGGCTCCTTGCTGGCCCATCCAGCCTTTGTGTCTCTAAATCACGGTATTGATTTTTAAGGTGCCGAATAAATGTGCTCAGAAACACTGCACATAGTATCCTTGTCTCAACCTGATATGTGCCACTGGCTCCCTTAAGATTTAATACATTAAAACAAGCAAGCAAACGCAATCTCACTCTCCCTTTCGCCCCTTTCATTCTCTCTCTCTCTTGCTTGTCATCTGCCCACACGCAAAAATCGAACAAAATATACCATGTTCCCTCAAGCCTTTTGCAGCTGGTTATACCTTATAATATTTCACTATGTGTATAAAATGATATGCAGTTGTTTTGTACAACAAGAGGGTCTCTTATTTCTCCTGCTACTTTTCATTCCCTTCTGACTTTGCCAGACTGCTGCTGTGTGGCTGTTTCTTTCTTTCTTTCTTTTTTTTGCTGTGATGGATTTTAATGCATTTCCATGCTCTTATTGATATAGAATGACACTAAATTTGGCGCCAGTCGGTCCGTCTGAGCCTGGCTGGAAGGATAGATGTTTATTGGATTAGTCTGTGGACATGCAAAGATTTGAAGGCTCTCCTCTTTTAATACTTACAGACAAATTAACAGTTTTTTTCTCTCCGTCTGCTGTATCTTGAGTCATACATCTTCATGTATTAACACTGCCATTACTCTGTTTTGACAGCTCAATCTCATCTTCCTGGTCATCACAATGTACAAAATGGTGAAGCACTCTACCACCCTGAAACCAGACTCTAGCCGACTGGAGAATATAAAGTAAGTAAAGGGTCATATACTGAACCCATTCTCCAACCATTCTCCTGCTTATCAGCAATATAACACTTGTGCTATTCTGCCACTACCCCATGAAACTAAGGCTCTTTTACTCATGAGGTACTTACTTAATCATCTTTCATGGGAAAATGCATTACTTCCCCCATCTCTAAGCCAACTTTCAGGACTGGACTAGCAAGTGACATTTGGATTTAAGGATATACTTCTTTTTTTTCAGTCAGTTTTTGAAATTATCCAGACAAAATGGAACAATTACTAGAGGAATTTATTATTTTGACTCTAGAGATTTCAAACGTTACACAGTTTTTCAGACTTTTGGCATGACTTAGCTGTCGTGATGACTACGCAGACATTGTGAGTTTTTTGTGCTTTGTTGTTTTGCTCCAAGCCATGAGCCACAGAATTGCGCTGGCATGACACACATCACTCTAAGGCTGCAACTTAACTATGGACTGTTAGCTCTGTTAGGGTGGGGTACAGTGTAACAGCTACCATGTGTGTTTGCCACTGGAACATGTCAAACCTTTTTTTATACATCCCAACGTCCAATCCCAGAAAGGAAAAAATTCCTTCTCTACACAACCGCCACCGCCCGACCACCACCCAACCTCATTGATCCTAGTCTGGCCTTTCTGAGTTGCCTCAACATTTATGATGTGCTTTGGGAAGGAAAGCAATGTTTTCTGAAGCACTAATTGTTTTGTTTTGGTTTTTTTTGGCACTTCTGTAAAAAACACTATTTATTGCTTTTTACTGCAGGCCTCTTCCATTTGGGGCTATATGGTTTTGTTGCTCGCAGTAGCACAGCCTCATGTCAGCCTGCGCCATTATATTACGTATTTCAACTTCCACCACTCTGTGTAGGAGCAGCAATGTTGCTATTTTCATCCAGCGTTTGTTATTTTTCATTTTTCCTTAATGAATGTGTGCAGCATTACAGCACTGTGGTAAACCTGCAATCAGCAAGAACAGCCAGAAAATGGCTTATTTAGATTTCTTGGTTTATTTGAGATAGACTACTCCCTTATCAAGGAAACCCGAAACAGAACACATTTACTGAACATTGGTGTGCATTTGTACTTGGATGTTAGAAATGACTTCTCTTACACTTGTTCACAGCGCAGAAATACATTGCTTATTAATAGCTGTTTCCTTGTAATATCTTTCTTTGTGTTTTGTTTTTTATGCCAAAGTTTGGTCTGGAAGCCAGTGTCATTGCATGTTGCATGTGAAGGCAAAGTTAACGCACACCCTCTCCTTTCTCTTCTTCTATCATTCTCCCCCTCTCTCTGTTCTGCGATCCGCTCCAGTAATTATCGCGTTTGTGATGGCTACTATAATACAGATTTGCCCGGGTAAGCTTTTACATTGCACCTCAAGATAATTTTACCCACACCACCCACACACACAGTAGCAAAAATGCAAATTCAACCAAAGACCAAATGCTTTGCTCAGAGTTTTGTAATTGAATCATCAACAGCAAAACATACAACTCTCAGTTCTTGTTAGACCCTTAATTTCATTGCCTCTCGTGATTTCCCTTGGATCAAAGTTGAAGATATCTTATTCAAATACCAACTAACCCACTGTTATGCGCTCTGATCTAATTGTGTTTCTCTCTTCCTGCTTATCATGCTCTCTAGCTATGAAGATAATAAACGGTTTATCAAGTAAGGACATGTTGCCCAGAAGTCTCCTCTTCAGCTTGTAGTTTACTCTATCTCCTCCTTTATTCTTTCTTTGTTTCTTTCTCCTTTTTCTTTCTTTCATCCTCTCCCAAATTGCAGCTTCAAAGTCACTCATCCACTGTCCTTGTGACTGTTCACTTTCACCACGTCCATCATCTTAAATCCAGTGTTGTTGTTGTTGTTGTTGTTGTTGTTGTTGTTGTTGTTGTTGTGTTTGAGCGCTGAACTGCGACTGCTGCTGGTGTCTGAAGGCTCCACGGGACCTTCACACACGAGGCGGGGATCTCCTTTTTTTCCTTGAACTCTTTCCACATCTGCCTAGTTCTCCAGCTCTGAGAACACATTCACCAGATAAACACTTAGAGTATGATAGCGGTAAATGCTTTTTTGTTAGCTTATTTTCAAACACGCTGTGCTTTCTGATTCTGCTACTGTGAATGTTCTAACACAAAAAAAGTTATTTACAGAAAACTACATCAAGGTTTTGCTTCCTTCTTGTCCGTTTGACGTCTGGAACTGCATTTGAGTTTGGGCTGAGAGTGTGTGTGTGGATGGAGGGGTGGGGACAGTGGTGAAATGGGTTGTGAGACATAGGTGTCGTTTGTCATTTTATTTTCTTCCCACATGGTTTAGAGCTTTTTTCCTAGTTTTTCATAGTTAATGGTGATTGCAAATCCCACTCATTAACCTCTCAGATCACTAAATGCCTCTCATGCTGGATTTGTCCTCTTCTTGTGTTTGTTTTTTACTGTCCTTCAGATCCTGGGTCATGGGTGCGTTCGCTCTGCTGTGTCTGCTGGGCCTCACGTGGTCCTTTGGCCTCTTCTTCATCAACGAGGCTTCGATCGTCATGGCATACCTCTTCACTATCTTCAACACCTTCCAAGGAATGTTTATCTTCATCTTCCACTGCCTTCTCCAGAAAAAAGTACGTTTCCTGTCGTCCGCATTGCCGAAAGCCTGTGATTCTTCTTTCAAGGCGAATCACTCCTTAGTTTGAACAGACTTTGCACCAGAATGCAGAATTCACCGAGCACCACATGCTGATATGAAAAACAAACACTGATTGCTGCAAGATTTTGGCTAAGTCATATGTAATGCCAATAATGTATGTAAACACTCGGCTATTTGCTCACGCAGGTCCGCAAAGAGTACAGCAAGTGCTTCCGCCACACCTACTGCTGCGGGGGGCTGCCAACTGAGAGCTCACACGGTTCTGCAAAGACTTCCACCACACGGACCAGCGCACGCTACTCCTCTGGTACACAGGTAGCCCAGCAGCTTCATACAGTCAAAGAATCATGGGTCTCAAAACAAAGAAGAACAGTGTTTCCTGCACACACATACACACACACGCTCATTGTACAGCTCATTTGCATTGTTGTGAATCACAAAGTTTAAACAATTGCTCATGAGAGTTTACTTTCATCGTGAGCATGTAGGTATTGGACAAAAAAAATGCACACCATGCATTTCAGCATAAGAGACACAAAGATTATGCCACATTTTACAAGCAGCATCTGCTGTACTGCATGAGTACCTTTCTTCTGTTCTGCCCCCTTTAGCACTTGCTTTTATCTTTTTTCTCACTAACGTCATGTGCATGGGAAATAGTACAGCGCTGTTTTAAAAGCATTGCAAGCACATTTTAATGTGGGGAAAGCCAAAATTGCGAGAGAGAAAAATTGCTTTATCCCTTTCATATTAAAGGCTAATAGGCCGTTAATTCAACAGTACAGCAAGATGTACTGTGCTTATAGTGAAACATCCCTATCATACTTTAACCTCCAGCCTTATTCAAGGTACTCGAGACTGGAGCTGAAGTCATTCAAAAGTTGACTCACGTAAAATTAGTTTTGAAAGACACATACAAAGAAAGTGAGCATTAGTACTGTCCTTGCCTCACTGCACACTCATAGGCATGTGAGGAGTCAGTAGTATGTACATAGAAAATAAATGAAAGTTGATCTGAAAGGTGAGCGGGCTTGTTTAAAGTCCTAATGACTGTCCCTTGTTGACCTGACAGAGTCGTATCAGGAGAATGTGGAATGACACCGTAAGAAAACAATCTGAGTCCTCCTTTATCTCAGGTGACATCAACAGCACCTCCACCCTTAACCAAGGTCAGTTCACACCTCATTTCTCTCCACATACACACTTATGCACACATTTAATCATCCAGCTAAAAATACCTCCTTCAGGTTCCAATGATCTCACACCGCCACAGAGGATCCCATTCTGGTAATCGTAACAAATGCCTTCAGCTTGAAAAGTCGGTGCAGTACGTTTTTTAAAAGAGGGGGAAAAAAGATCTAGGTCTTAAGTCTAGTCTCTCTCTCTGTTCTGCCAGCGAAGGATTACAAAAATCCGTCCTCAAATACTGTGCACTGTCATTCTGGCCGGTAACGTCACTCCAAAATTGGGGCAAGGCTAGAAGAACGTTTTTATTTAAGTGCTGGATGTCCAAAGTTCATACGCGGGCTCAGGGGAAATATAGACAAAACTAAAAACAAGGTTTAAAAAAAGAGTTTCATTTTAGGAAAATCTTAACACGCAGAGAGAGGCCATTTGTTGCCTGGCATGTAAGGTGACCTCTGTTACTTTACAGCGGGATTTATGAGGGAGGGAAGGGGGGAAAAAAACTGTCATTTATTATTTAGCTTGAGCACAAATATGATGATGAGAAGATGATGTTCAACTCTGGCTGACCTGAAGTGCTTAGTGTGTTGTTAGGCTTTCTGCTGCCTCTGAAATGGCTTTACAAGCATGCGAGGGAAAAGAGGGTTTACACCAAGGTAGTTTAACTTCACTCCCTCCTCTGCCCTCCTCTGACTCCTGTCGCTGCCGCTCTTCTCTTTCTTTTTTTGCTGTCACTTCCCACAAAGTAAAACATTACACCTAGGGCTTTGAAGCACATTTCAATTGGCTGATACATCAGTAACAATATAGAATCGGAATTTTTTTTTTTTGACGCAGTTCCTGGAGATGTTAATGTAAAGGTTGGATATTGATCACTCCAGGGTGTAGCCTAGTTACCCTGTAGAGTCAGTGCACGAAAGGAGGGCTCTATCTCCTGGAAGCACTTCCCTGTCATTAAGAACATCCCTGGAGACTTCCCAGCATGACAGATGGCATTTAACACAGGTGATAAATGGCAATGGAAATACCTCAGATCCTTGAAACACACCGCAAGCTGGGGGGGGTTGGTTGCTGGAAGGAAGATGAGGTTTGGAGGGAAATGGCCAAATGTGAGTCTAAATAAAGATTTTTATACCAAACCTTTGAAGGATTCTGCTCTTTGTCATAGGGGAGATTTTATATATAGACCCAGTTCAAACATTGCAACATTTTCCTAATCACAGAGATGCAGGGTGCTATTTTTGAAAAGTGATATTTACTCAAAACAATAAGTAAATATGACTTATGAAACGCACTGATGACAGGATGCAATAATGAGCTCAGTGGGCTGAAAATGGGGTTATGAATGATGAGCAACACAAATAACAAATTAACTTGATGGTTGAAGCCCCTGCTACCAAAAGTTGTTAAATGCGAGGACGGTCGGCAAAAGCTGAATATTCTTGACACATGGAGAAGTAGCTTAATAGGTTTCTTGCTTCTCCCTGGTTTGCTCTCAAACTTTAGTCTTCATTCTCAACTACAAAAATAAACACCCTAGTTTCAAATGTTTGCAGACACCCTGGATGACACCATATGCCTCAAAATACAAACTTGCTGAAAATTTCCTTCATTTCCTTTCTCCATTAAACTTTCAATCACTGTCGGCTGACTGCGCCAAACTTATCTGCTCCTCTTCTGTCTTGCTACTCCAGGAATGACCGGGAATTATCTACTAACAAATCCTCTTCTTCGACCACAAGGCACTAACAACCCATATAACACCTTACTGGCTGAGACAGTCGTATGTAACACCCCCACGGCTCCAGTGTTTAACTCGCCAGGTGTGCTTACTTAATACTTTCACCTGAATTCAGGCTTTTCTTCTTTTCTTCTCTTTGCCCCCTTTCTTTCTCTCCCTATTTGTCTAATTGAGTAAACAGCAGGTCAATTGAAAAGCAGGATGTTCCACAGTATCGCCTTTCCTTCTGAATCATTGTCTCCCAAATATTTGATATATTCCATACTGTGTGTGCGTGTCACTCATAAACAGTATACATAATTTTTGTGTTTGTGTATGTTTGTGCGCACATGTTTTCACGTAGGACAGAGATTTCTGTGGTTCGTCTTGAGCCACCCTCTGTGTTCTCATATTTCTCTTATCTAAACTCTGAACGGGACATAATGATTAAGATGGGAAAGAGATACTACATGTTCTGCCTTGAGATAATGTAAACAGTGGTGTAGACTTGAAGCTGTAGTATAAACTGCATGATTATTAAGATTTATGCTCCTGAATTTATCAAGTGATTTGTTATTTTCTGTGTTTTAGAGGGAGCTTTCCCCTTAAAACGTGTTAAACTGCAAGCAAAAATATTTGCATATTTAATACAGATATACTTAATGCAACTTTTGCATTGAGTTGTCTATGGATATGTATGGCAATAGCTGATAGCCATGAAAACCTTTTCTAAAAATCACTATATCTCAATTGCACATGGCATTTAAGCATATATCACACTGTAAAGACTGTGCTGTGATTATGTGTGCTGAAATGAAATGGCATCTTTTGTCATGTTTTGTGTTTTTCCCTTGTGCTTCCCTCTAGTGACCTACAGAGAGACAAGTATGGGAGTAAAACTTAACTTTGCCTATCAAATGTAAATTTTTTTCAGCATGCTTTTTAAAAACAACCAAAACCCCGGCACACTCACTGGTTTACTTTAGGCCATTAACACACACTCAGTGAGCAAGTGGTTCACAAAATTATCTACCCAAATTCTACTCCAATCTGAAAGAAAAACAAAAAGATTTCTCTAGTCATTTGGAGTCATCTTCAAGATCTGACAGCTTTATCACAAATTTCCATTACTCTGCTTCTCTCTCTTCAGCTTAATCTGTGATTTGAACCGACCAAAAATGTGTTGCTTTTTTTCCTGGCAGAAAGGAACATTTTAAAAGAGAGGTTTCTTTTTTCTTTCTTTATTTCTTTCTTTATTCTTTTGTTTTTCTCCCAAAATGTCTGTCCTCCTGTGGCATTCGGCAGTCTCAGTGTCCAGTTGTATTCCCCTCACACCTTTCCAGACAACACCTGTCTGGACACTAAATTGCTTCCTAGCAGGCATAAACACATGGATGTCATGGTGGCAGCTGTTTTAGTTATCCTTATTCTTATGTTTTTCATTACTTTCTTGTCATTTCCCCTTAATTCGAATAGGCTCTGCAAAAAGTAAGCTTTTCATATGCCCCCAACAATCACACTTCCTTTTTTTTGGACAAAGACAAATGTTTCATCTTAATTTTTACATCTGTTGTTCTACAAGGAGGCATGTTAGCCATAGCAGAGCACATTTTTCTGTTATCTCTTCTCTCTCAATCATGGCATAACTAAAATTTATCCTTTTTGCTGCTGTTTTCCGTGACCTCCATGCTTTGAGAAATTCCTAACATGACTGCATCTGACCTCTGCAGCGGCTGTGTTATTCTTGAGCTGTTCTGCTAGTGACCGGGGTCTCACTGGGAGCTGTCACTGTGACGGATGCCAAGTGCTGGGCTGCGGGCAAGCTCTGACCTTTGCCAGCTTTGGGTACACAACCTGCTCACTAATGGACAGAAAGTGTACCAACACAAACAACCAAATTCTTTAAATCTAGAAAAGAAAAGGAGCTGTTGTCATTTAATTCATAAAAGTAAAAGCTATTTAATGCTTGTTTATTTCATTTGCTGAACCCTTGCTCTTGCTAAGTTGCAGTTATGACTTTTTCTTTACGTTTTGTTGTTCTTTTGAGTGATTCTTCTTCATGTTACAATAAATCATTTTACTTTCTTTTTGTACATCAGCTGCTCTTAGACCAGATAGCCTGAGCAGACAGACATGATGTGAGTTGAAGTGAGTCTTTTCACCTGCTGTGTGTGGTGATGGTGGAGTGCTGCTTGTGGGCTCCCCTTGTAGTGAGAACGACGATGGCTGTCCCGTGTTGATACATGACTAATTTCCCTTTCTGTCTATGTCATCTTTTCCCATCTCTGTCCTTTTCTTTCCCTCGGCACATCCAACTTATTAGTTGCTAGAAAACCTGTAAGTGTTGTAGCTTGCCCGTTTGTGGCTTCATACTTGTGGACATCTACTTTTGCCCGATGTGTTGTGATGGTGATTACTGTTCAGTTTGTTTTTTAATGTTGTTTGGGATCTTTTTCATTGCTTTGTCACGTATGTGACAGACTAAACCGTACAGTGCTCTGCTTAGCATTTCTTAAAAGTGAAAGTCAAAATGTATATGTGAGAAAGTAAAATGATTTCTCATTGCAAATAATGCATGCATCTATATTGTATGTTTACGATTGTGCCTAACTAACAGATTACCGGCATGGCTTAATTTGATTTGAGTCTTCGATGTGAAACTGCATCCTAAACAGCATTAAACTTTAGTTTCTTTATTTAATGGTTATTGGTGTTCACTAATGTAAAATCCCCTCACATGTTCCTGTCTTTCCAGGGCACTCACTGAACAATGCGGTGAGGGATACAAGTGCAATGGATACTCTACCGCTAAATGGTAACTTTAACAATAGCTACTCACTCCGCAATGGGGACTTTGGCGACAGTGTGCAGGTAGTAGACTGCGGCCTCAGTCTGGACGATGCTGCCTTCGAGAAAATGATCATCTCCGAGCTAGTACACAACAACCTGCGTGCCTGTAACAAAAGCCACCAACAGCAACAGCAGCAGCACCCCAGTTTACACCATCCACCCCACCACCAGCAGCCCCCGCAGTACCACCATCACCACCACGCGGAGCGGGCTCCGCCCAAGGTGACAGTGATAGGCGGCAGCAGCAGCGAAGATGACGCTATCGTTGCTGATGCTTCGTCTTTGGTGCACGTGGGTGACACAGTGGGCCTTGAGCTGCACCATCAGCAGGAGCTGGAGGCGCCGCTCATCCCCCAACGGACTCACTCACTTCTGTACGCACCCCAGAAGAAGGTGAGGACCGATGGGGGAGTTGATACCTTTGTCAGCCAGTTGACACCCACCAACCCCGATGACAGTCTGCAGTCCCCAAACAGAGACTCCTTGTACACTAGTATGCCTAATCTGAGGGACTCTCCATACCCCGAGAGCAGCCCCGACGTGGTGGAGGACCTGTCCCCCTCCAAGGGGAGCGAGAATGAGGACGTTTACTACAAGAGCATGCCTAACTTAGGGGCTGGCCACCAGCTGCAGGCCTATTATCAGATAGGCCGAGGGAGCAGTGATGGTTACATTATTCCTATTACTACAGAGGGCTGCATCCCTGAAGGTGATGTACGGGAAGGACAGATGCAGTTAGTGACAAGCCTTTAAATGTATTTAAATAATCCCCAAACCTCTTCTTGCCCTGACCTCTTTGAGGACACACTAGTAAAGGGAAGGGAAGTGTTTGTTTTATTTTTAAAGAGAGCTTAAAAGCCCCATCATACACACTAGCCATTTACAAAACCTTCCCCTTCAGCTGCATTGTCATCTCCTTTTCCCTAAACATACCACTCTACCTTCCCTGCAGACCAACAGACTTGGTGCACAGTGATGGCAGTGCAAAGTTTCAGTGAGACTGTACATAAAATGCAGATTTGAATTTCAATTTTAAGAGACAAGCCAACTATGTATTTAAGTGTGCTGCTGCTGTTGATTAATTGAGAAAAATGTAAGGTACGAAAATAATAAAAGACACAAAAAAAATAAAACACTACTGGCTACATCAGATCAGCAATTTCCCGGTCAAAAGGTTGTACATACACTTCCCAACATCCCCGTTGAAGCCTGTTTTTTAATCGTAAACAAAACAACACCCCTGGACCAGGACTTGGACTTTTTAAAATGTTCCTGATCAGACTGTTAGAAAAGGAATATAAGGTCCTGGTTGCCCAGAGTCGCTCTCCATCACCATGAAGTCTGGATTGTATAACCACTAGCAATCAAGCCCCTGGCCTTATATTTTCTCAACTGTACATTGAACTGTTGTCAAGGAAAATGGCTAAAATATATATTTTGTTGTATTGCTAGTGTAAAATAAAAAATCATGGGAAAACATAAATATGAAGAAACCTTTTAATTGCAAAATTTAACATTTGAGAGACTATTGTGTAGAAGTTGCACATATGTTATACGGTGTGTTTATGGTTCCAACACTTCATTCATGGTAGTATGTTTGAACGTAAAGGTTTATGAAAAGAAAGGAGGATTCAACAAATTACAAAGAAACATTATCACTTTTCCCACTTGTGAACAGTGTTTTTTGCTTATTGAGTTCCATTGATATCGCCCGTTGAAATATGTCTATTTAATTTTGCCAAAGTATCATTACTTTAGTAGAACGGGAATGCAAAAACCCAGGTAAAGTGATTTATGCATTGCACAGTTTTTTGTGTAATTCTGAATGAAATAGATCTTTTTAACAGTCACGACAGAGTGGTGGGCAAGCGCAAATGAAACTGACTTTTGACAATAAAGTTTCTATCATAAATGTAGTTCTTCCGCCTGGGTTTGGACATTTTATTTATTGAAATCTTTCCAAAAAATAAATGGGAAATGTGTGAATATTTTCCAGCACTGGTATACATGCTGTACTGTAGCTCATGTTTTCTATGTAAACATGTTACCAAGGGGCTCATCACTTAAGACTGATGTAAAGTTCAACACTTGTTTAACAAATAAAATAAATGTGAGATTTTTGGTCAAATTCTAGTTGCTTTTTAATGGTTTGTGTTTTTGGTACAGTTTGAGAAAACAGGTTTAATTATTTTGCTATGGACAAAAATACACCTTTGACTCAGGTTATAAGTAAGTCCCGAGCACCCTGTAAAGGTAAATTGGTGAATTTGTTTTCTAAGGGATTTATTTGCTTTTGTTCTGCCTTTTACTTAAGTCGCTGCATAGTAGAGAGAGCTCATTTCACCGTTTGTGTTAGAGAAGCCAAATCTTTCCATGTGATTCAAAGATGAGAAACTCAGGTAGGAAAATTGCATTGTAAATGTTCCTCTGTGTGGTTGTAACACTAATAAAGGTTAAAAAATGACACTGGTTCACAGCATTGTCCACTTAGTATATTATTGAACGAGCACTAGTCCTGGCACTAATAAAAAGCCTGACGCTACAGACATCTTGTAAGATGTTGGCTTTAATGCCTTGTGGGAGTGGAAACGAGTCCATGGGCCTAACAAGAGGTCAGTGTTACACTTGGCTGCGGTTGTAGAAATATATTACACATAATATGTCCAAGTATGACACATATTTTCTCTAATTAATGTCTGCTGCTGCTGAAGCCCACAGTCAGTTCTTGTACGGTTTATGCCTCAGGTAATGCTAATTTACGAAGCCTTTTAATATAACACCAGTTGAGGCAGAGTGACAGCTCTCAGCGGGGTAGCTGGAAATTGCACTGTTTACCATTTGGCATTGAAGGAAATGACTCAGAACGTAGCAAAAATGCACTTTATGTCAGAGCCCTTACACATAATGCTGTGTGGGCTGTGTGTTGTTTTTGACTTTTTCAACAATTATGTGACATTTTGTGCAATTATCTGAGGCTACAAATTGTCATAGAGGAATTATGTTCTTTTTTGTGATGTCTTGTACAGACCCCTTGAATGTCAGTTAGGAATCAAGTGTTGATGTGATTGTTGACTTTTGAAATGGCAGACATAATGACGTGCATAATAACGACGGGGGGAAATCATATTGATTTCCATCCTGCGTTGTAAAACGGGCTGCACCACTTTGTCTGTGTATGAGAGCCCAAAAGTTTGAATATACAATGTAAAAGAATCCTTTTTAATAATTGCAATTTTAATATTTTGCATTTTAATATTTTGCAATATTATAATTTAGAATTATTCTCTTAGATACAATTCACATTCCAATTTTTTCGTAAAAAGTAATTTTAAAGATAACCTGAGAAGGCTCATCCCACTTTTTGTGTATAGAAAGACCCCATGTTAAAGATTTTCACTGCTGTAAACACAAAAAGTAATGTCTGCTTGTCAAAAGTTATTCTAACCTGAGAGTTTGTCTTTGTTCATTGTTTCTGCGAGCATAAATAACAAGTCACTTCTCATTTTCTGTTTGTTTACCTGAAATAGAAAAGACAACTCTTCGGTGCAGGATTCTGTCTAAACTGTAAAATGCAAAGTCCACATTAACATTAATAATGTAGTCACTCCTCAAATAATTGACAACCCTTTCCTCACCCCTCTCTCTAACTGCAGTTTGTTTATCCTAACACAGTGACCTTAGACGCAGACAAACTCGGCTGGTAAGCAGATTTATTTTCTTTGCAGGGAAATATGATCTTGGATTGGATCTGTCTGACAGGGAATGTGGACTGGGCAGCATCTAGCTTTGCGTGTGGCCTTCTCACCATGCAAGAGCCTCTCTAATTCCCTGTCTTTTGTTGAGGGAGAGACTCGCCCTTTGTCAAACATTGCTTCAGAAGTAGGCCAGGAGCTGAGGGGCTAAGAGCTCAGCTGCTCCCACAGAGGAGCAAGTAGGCCCCTGGAAACCAAGGTAGAGAATACTGTCAGCAGAATCGGGGTGAAACTGCCGAAGACGGATGAGTTATTGACTAAACAGAGGCATGAGTCTAATGTGTGACCAAGCATGGATATTTGTGATTGTCGAGTCACAAATAATTTTCAGGACCCAAGGAATTTCCGTAGGATATGATGCAATCACATGAAAATTAGTTTCCTGTTGATGAAAGCCTTACGTGTGTGTATTTTCTCCAGATCCCAGAATGCACTGAAGGTCTCCCAGATGTGGCTGTGTCCTCTCTGGGAAACAGAAAACAACAAGACGTTTCTTGAAAGCACTTGGTATTTTGGTCACACAGGGATGTAATAAACATTTAATTAACTAATCATCTGTTTAAGATCAACTGTGGCAAGCTTCATCATCTTAAATTAAATAATGATTATATGCATATAATTACCACTTCGGTGATCCTTTCATTCTACTTTTCATTCTGACACTAACAAAAAAACTGAATTTATAAATATATACATATAGTAAGCCTCCTGTCACGAGGCCCCGGCTGTGAGCTTGTTCTGGGAGCTGGGGGGCGTGTCTGCTGCGGGCTCTGCACTCACCTGAAACCCATCCGCAATCAGCACACCTGCTCTGTGTCCCACAATCAGCCACTGCCTAAATAGGAGGCTCAGACATCCAGTCCTTGCCGATCTTAGAATCAGTCTTGTATTGTGGTTATTGTCTGTTCATGTCTAACCGCTGTTTCTCTCTGTCTCAGCAGACTACCAGCCATCAGCTGTCTTCCCGCTTACTCTCCCCTGAATAAACTGCCTAAACTCTGATCTCCGTTTGTGTCCTCTCTGCCTGAAAACTCTGACACCTCCAACCCAAATAATTCAATATTTCATTTAAAAAGTAGAGCACTGAGGCCATTTTTAACAAGTCTACATTCACGTATTTGTTGAAAGTTCAGTTTAAGAAGTTCCATTTCAACCCCTTGGGGATTTCTCTGAGGTTATCAATAGCGGCTGCAGTAGCAACTGCTGTGGTAACTCCTGTGAACGGAAAACACAGTGCCAATTATAGATGCCATCAGCGTGGATGAAAGCGATTGTGTACAAGCAAAGGGAAACCTCTCAAGCCACAAACAGAAACTGGCACCGCAAAAGTAACTTCCCAAACTCTTGAAGTCAAAGGGGACCCTTCAGCGGCTCACTCGTTTCTTCCCCCAGCCTCTTTTGTCCTGTCCCCAACTTCAAATGTGCAGATTTGCGGCCCATGGGCGACTTAGATCCGGTCCCGTCGAGGTGAAAAATCCAATTAACCTGCAGCTCCAGCTGCCTTCGTTATAATTCCCTCCCATAATTATGAAATTACTAGATGCAGGATTTCAAATGAAAAAAGGATGAGAGCGACTGGCTCAGAAAAAAACATGAAATAAACCATTGCCTGCCAGTGTACAGAGTTCCAATTTACCTCAAGGGGGAACAGCTAATTCTTATGACTGGGTTTGAAGGTGAGACCTGCAAAAGGCCATTAAATCAGAATAAGAAATATCCTAACAAAAACATAAGGATGGATTTCGAAATAGCCATTGAGATTAATGGGTAGGCTCTTGCATGTCATGCATTTAGACCTTGGAAATATAAGTGCACCATGTAGACTAGACTGCTCATAAAAAAGTATCATAAAACAGTGTCACTGTCAGCACTTTGAGATCTCTGGTTGTATAGAGATTTCTTTCTGGAGGACTGTGAGTATTATATTAAAACTCTATTTGAGAGGTTAAATAGCCCACGTGTTACCGCTTCCTTCTGCCTTCATCAGGGAGGTTGCAGTAAAATCAGCAAACCCAAATGAACACTATCAGAGTTGATTTTAACATTTTTAAAGTGTCTATATGGATCCACACCAAAGAGTGGTAATTTTGGTAATTGGTACTTTAACCCTAATTTAGTGTTCTTCTTAACACCAACCAGTGTTAGTTTTTCTTAACACTTTTATGTAGTGTTAGACATTAACTCTATCAGAGGATAATTTGTTTACTAAAAAAGTGTTGGCTCAAAAACAATTTAAAGGTGTAAATATAGCTCTTCCATATTCCTAAAAGAAAAGAAGTTTGCAAAATATTAAATATAATTTTTGTTGTTTTAAAACATTTGTTTTAACACTTGCATTTTTAAAGGATTTGATTACATTACATTAAGAAATGTAAAAAATAAATAAATAATAAAAAAGTTGTTAGGGTGGCTAACAGTGTGGCGACATAAGGTGCCAGAAGAGAAATATCAATACAAAACATAATATTAACAGATACTAGAGTGCTTTCATGAAGACTCTCCTGGCTTTAGCCAACCGGTGTGTGTAGGCCTACGCAGTGGTGTGGAATGACGCAAACACTTCAAGTGTAAAAACCAGGATCAGAGTTATGAGTACGAAGTTCAGAGTTAATATTTATACAATTACGCTTATAGGTTTGAGTTAGTGACACTATGTTTTTACACTCAGTTTTGACACCAACTACTTATCAAATATATGGAAATCCAAATATAATGGATTTGAGTCCATCCAGAGTAGAATTAACTCTACTTATACTCAAATTTCACTAACACCAAAAATGTAACTCTTCTCAATTTGCTGTATACAAAACAGCAAGACAATGACCAGCAGTGAGGTACAGTATATGGCAATGAATTCAATGTATATAGTTTCTGTATTGCATTTAAATTATTTAAACAGTAAAAAAAAATCTGTATAATATTATTTAATATTATTTCTGACTAGTGCATGCAGTACATTACATGCCAGAAACATCCAGAAGTGTATAATAAATAATATAACTAGATTCTCTTGTGGGGTGGCATGGTGGTTCAGTGGTTATTGCTGTCACCTCACAGAAAGAAGGTGAAGTTTTCAAACCCTGGTTACCCCGGCCTTTTTGTGTAGAGTTTGCATGTTCTCCCCGTGTCTGCGTGATTTTCTCCAGGTGCTCCAGCTTCCTTCCACTGTCCAAAGACATGCGGACTAGGTTAATTGGTTACTCTAAATTGTCCTTAGGTGTGAGTGTAATTGGTTGTTTCTCATTAAACAGGGACAATGCATTCTTTACTTCTTGTTTTTGTTTCTTTTAAAGCAGAGAGACTCATCAGTCTCATCAGTAAATCTAACATGTATCTGATAAACTCATTGGCACTTGAGCAATAACTATGGGATCTCTTGCCATGTACAAGCCTCTGCAGGCTAATATACATAACTCATACACTCACACTACACATACTATATGCTGCGATTCATGCAAACTAATCCATTATGCTGCTGTATCAAACAGTATCAACATCTCTATTCATCATTCAGCAAGAAGAGATGGCCGCTCACTGACACTATTTGCTTCTTACTTCAATCTTTACACTCTAAGGGCTAGGGCTGTTGTTATTGTAATGGACATGTTCAGAGATATGAAAAAACACACTTTAACTCAAGTTGGAGTGGGCCAGCAATCTCTGGTAACTACACTCCAACAAAACCTATCATGACGGGTCCCCAGTAGCTCACTACAGTGCACACAGTGAATGAAGGCTTTGCAGACCTTTGCAGCAGCAGCAGCCTGGGTTTGAGTCCAGCCTGGGCCTTTTACTGCATGTCATTCCTTCTCTTCCTCCCTGGCCTTTCCTGTCTGTTTACAGTCACTGTCAATAAAGTAGAAATGCCCCAAAAAATCACAGCACAACAGAAGACCTTTTCCTCGTGAGTGAGAGGAAACAGATAAAATGCAATGACTTTCCTTTAACTCAAAAATCAAAGGCTAAATAATCAGTAGTGTGCTGAAAACCTTTACAAGAGAATGAAACGCTTAAAATATTTATAAAATACTCATATGGGGGATTATGTGAATAAAGCAACCATACTGTAGAGTTCTGATGACCAGCCAACGCCCACCATTTTGTTTTTCCTCAGAAATGGACTCCTAGTTTGAAGGTCACTTCGCATCAGGGAAACACTTTGGATTATTCTTGCTCTCTAAAGTACATCTTAAATAAAACAGAATGAATGAAATGTAAAACCTCCTCATTTGCTCCAGGAACAAATCATAAATTATTTGAAGCTCAAAGGTGCTTTTATTTTCCATGAAGAACATACTAGTAACTTCATGCTAGTATAATCAAAGACTCTCCCAAAAACACTTAATTATATGTGTTAATTTGTGAATTGTAAATGTCGGTGGAATGCTAAATATGCATAGTTTCTATTTAAGATGATTAAGGCATCAAAATCTATTGATTTGGCTTTGGCCATGTCTCATCGAAAACACCTTGCCTGGAAACCACAATCATTCGCAGTGGGACATAAATGGGATCCATAAAGCAGCCGATGGGCCTAGTACTGGGTTTATAATTGATAAGTAGAGGGAAAACAGTTGTAACCTTGAGTACAGGTGTGCATTGCAACTGAATATTGATTCTGAGTTTCCTTGCTGGTGGCGAAGGTGCAAGGAGAACATGAAGACAAGATATAAAATATATTATGAATGTCTCTGTTGGACTCTAGTTTCTCATTAAGATTCAGAAAGGCCTTTGCAGAGGAACCTTGTCATGCTAATCCTAGCCAAGTGGTCCCACAGGGTCCCGGCAACTGTGAGCGAGCATACATCTCGAAGAACATTTTTTGTCTGCGATCTTTGTCATATTAGTTTCCTTGCCTTTGTGATGTCATTGTCCTATTTGTATAGTAGTTTGTCTTAGTCAAATAAGTGGTTAAGAGACTAAAATGCACAGCTTGCTCCACTTCTCTTCCCAGCTAAAAGAGCACAGAAACAGAAAGGATAGTCCATGTACGCATATCAGAAATGATTCTACAAGAGTTAAAGATTACAAACAGTTCCTATTGTTTATGCAATAATTTGGATTCGGGTCACCTTTTTTTTTTGTTAATGAATAATCATCTAGTTCACATGCTCAAATACAATTATACCTCTACCGAAAGCAGTGAAAGTGGAACAGATAAACCCATCAGAGAAAGCTAGAATAAACAGTATGCTGTATAATTTATTGTCTACTGAACTGCAGGTCAGTTTCAATATAGCATGAGTGAAGTGTTGTGAGATCTAATCTGATTTCATTTTATTAAAATGAGAATGCATTTCAAGGAATCAATTGCACTTTTTTGATTCATATCAACAGTTTATTTCACTCATGGCCAGCATTACCAACACAAAAGCGCTGCTTTGTCAGCTGAATATTTGTAAATGTACATTCAATTGAAGGTTAAAATTTAACTTAAATAACCAATTGGGATAATATAGAAACAATAAGTAGGTATGTTTGGTGTTTGTGTATCCTGTGCTAAATCCTCCTGAAAATATGACTGTAAAACCTTATTTTGGAAGTGGTCGGTTTGTGTACAGAAGATTATGATGGTGCAGCGCCATTCTTTCATTCTCAAAGGAAAGCCCTGAAATCAATCCACAGTAAATTTCTTAGCTGATGAAATTACTGGCATGACCTTTAAAGCTTCCTCTTTAAACTTTTCATGTCTGATGTCGTACAAATGACAATAAGATGTCTTGCCAATCATGTAAATTACATCTCA